CAACTTGCATTAGAAAGGATTTCACAATGTTTTATTGTGCATGTCAGTATTTTAGCTCTCTTTTGCTATACCACTGCTGACTTGTATAATGTCTCTTTCCATTGAATAAGTTAGACATTAACAGTAAGTTATTGCAGTCTTTACATTAATGTAAATCCAACCTGTGGTCTCTGGGGTGTGCTGTATTCAATTCATAGTAAAATGTGGAACAATTTACAATGCATTACAATTGAAGTTTGATCTCCCAGTAGTTTCTACAGTAGCATAACACAGCCCACATTTTCCTATTCTTTGAAATACATTACATGGTCTTGGGCCTATGACAGTTTACTTACAAGGGGTTACACGTTCGATTTCAATGTAACATTTTATCGAAAACGTTCAATATTCTGAGGTTTTAAAATATTTAATGCATAATGAATTCTATACATATACAGTACATGTACACAGTACATTCTATACATATACATATACTGCATGTGGAAAAATTAAACTACAAATTAATCAATGTTTTAATACATACTGTACATAATACAGTATATAGCATTTCCCTGGAAAGGTATGATAGTTTATCTGTCCAGTCTACTATATCTTCTGGACTATCATCTGGATTCAACTTCTCCATTTGCTTAGTATAGTCAATAGTATCCACTGCCTTAAGCGACCTGCCTCCCTGATTGAATAAGCAAATAAACTGGCAGATAAAGCCTTGTTATTTCACGCCTTGCTAAGTAAATATAGGGAATAATCATCCTTCCATTCCTCTGGTTTTACACAGCTCCACAAGAATTAGGAGGTTAAAGGTATTCGGTGATGTAATTTTCCTGACACTATGATCCCTCTGATCTGCCTCATGCTTTGGGGTCTCTCTCTCCGGTAACCTTTCATACTCTGCAGACTCCACTCAGCAAGGGTAAGCTAGAAACCCTTGTGTGGCAACCTTAGCCATCAACACAATCCATGCTTTGATTCTGGTTAAAACTGTTCTATACATATGCTGCTGCTGAGGAGGATCAGTAAAAAGAAGCAAAAAAGAGAAAAATGTAAGGGTATCGCTTTCTTTGTCACAGTGTGCACATAAATGTAATTGCCCATATTGAAATGTTGCACACAGTATTGTAACACAGGCTAAGATCACTTAAAAGGTCACATGTCCAGAATACAAATGCTATATTTAAACACCTCAGTTATAAACAAAGTACTAGATGATGGCAGAACACCACTGAAGGTACAGCACCATTAAGACTACATAGCGTCTCTAATTAATTACAGGTATGAGTCTTTCAAAGGTATCAAGAAGCTATTAATTATTTTTTAAATCTCCTATTTACAAATAATTAATTATAAAAAATAGCAGTAATTTACTTAATGAAAGCCACCTGGCTAATGACATGTGCATCATATGCTGCGACAGTAGTTAGCATTTGGAAGAGTTATATGTAGAAAGTGGTGCGTAACTAGGCTCTTCAGGGCATAGAGCTAACTGAGGCATATCAAATTTTTACTAATGACTTTGAAGTTTTGCAAAACTGAAGTTATAACGTCAGCATTTTGATAACAGCATTCTATTAAGGTCACAATGAACAAAAATAGGCAAAGTACCATAATGTTTAGAATATTCCTCATGTCTTGAGCCTAAACCATACCACTGTGGATAAATCAGTCTTTCTTCAGAAATAATATAGCCAATATTAAATGTGCATATAGTCAACAACTATTATTTAAATTGTAATATAAACATTGTTTTAAAAGAATTTTGCATTCGATTTTAATTTTGAGTGTGAAATTATGGCAGATATTACAGTTTAGCCATTAAATGCATGGCAGGAATGAAAAATAGGTAAAACTGTCTCTAAACACAGACAAATGCCCAGATACTGAGACACCAACAGAACAGAAACATTCTACACAGTGCAGTGAATGTAAAAACGTTACGCGTGTCCTGTCTTTTTTAAACAACACTATAAACCCAAAATAAGAGTTCCAATTCACTAGAAGAGCTTTGGTAAAATTTCCAGTCTATGCAAATCTGTCTAATTACACATGCTAATGTTACAATATACGAAACATCTGTTTTCTCAGCATATTCTATCACAGACAAAATAATAATGACTGAATGGTTAAGAAGTAATGTCGTTGCACTTAAATATTAAAAAAACACCTGTATTTATGCTGATACAAGGGCACAGACAATACCTGAAACTTTTTAATGAAAGGTTGTAATAAAGTAATTTGTTTTATGCTTTCACTTTAATGCAAAAAAGAGATCTTGTTTCTTCCAATTTTGTGACTACTTTAATGTAGGAAAAATTCTATTACAATGAAGAAAAAATGAATGTATTCCTTGCATAAGGAAAATATCACAATAGTTTGATGAAGAAAACACTCTGGGGACAGGTACAGATTTTAAACACAGTGAGTCTGTTTTTAAATATCCAGGAAAGCTGGGTCCACAGAGAACCCTTTTCAAGAGGTCAAAGGGATAAAGCAATTTAAGGAA